GTTTGCGTCCAAATTAAATTTTAACATCCCCGCACAATTTCTTGTTCAGTGTTGCCAACTCGGTCCCAGGATTGTGCCAAGAGGGATTCCAAAAAGTTATTATTTCGAAAATAAATCATATAATTTTGGTTATGTCTGATAAAATAATAATTTAATTTAAATTTGATAATTTACCATTTATTAATTAATAAATATATATATATAATATAATAATAGTGAAAAAATGTTGTGCTAAGCAGATTTAAAAAAGAGCTATATAAGTTAACGATCCTGTGAAAATTGGCATTTTAACTTATTAAATCTTTAAACATATTAAACGAATATACACAAATAATCACAATAAAAACGATAAAATTGTTAACAGTTCTTTTAATCTGTTTTATTGTTATTTTCAGTAAATAAAAAGTTTTTCTTTTATTACGATATACTGTAATAATATATCAAAATTATGAAGCCAAATGAACAGAAAAAGGCTGAATCCGATTCTAAAAGAACTAAGTTGGCAACACTGGTCTTATTACATAATGTATAGAGTTGAAAATCGTACGGAATTATTTCTAAGTGGCAAGACGGGGTATGCACATACTGCGTAGGTGTCTCGAAACCCTCGCCCCGTCTGAAGACGTGTCTCGCTGGCTAAATTACCTTTTTAACTTTTCCTATTTAGGGAACGTCTTGAAATCACAATAATAATAATAGGTACGGAACGCCACGGGATCAAGTGGACGGTCGCGATTATCATAACGTATTAGTTGGGCTTCCTCCACATCCCTAATAAGTATGGCTGCCAATTAATATGTTGGCAAATTACCCTAATTCCAAATCTAAACGTTTAGGAAATACTTCATGGAAATTTTTAAAAATAGAACGTTTCCAAATTTAAAAAGTAGTTGTATTTTCTTTACATTCCAATAGGTAATCTGTTCTAGTAATTTACACTCAACATTTATTAAAAAACTATTCAAAATATTTGAAATTCGAACATAAAAGACATAGAGCATTTTATTTTTTATTTTTACTATAACCTATTTAGTTTTTCCTTTGCATTCCTTTCCATTATATAACGTATTGTTAACAGCAATAAAAATATTTTTACAACTGTCCAGTTCTCAAAGAATGCAGTTCACTACCACTCTAAAATCAGCTCCTTTGCCCTTCTCAGTATTAAAAAAATAACTGCAACATAAACCATACGTTCCATCCAAACAGAGAGTCATTCTAAACTAATCTTATTTCAATTACATGCATCTGCATACGAGATGCAGTCCCTGCACTTTTAAATCCCATTGAATAACCCGCTTGGCTATTTGACACTAGAATTGTCAACCCTTCCGCGCCGCGGGCGAAATTATTAACGAATCTTATGATTTATGGCCCCCCGGTCCCCAGTTATCGGGGGCCATTACGTCCTTTATAAAATAATACATTTTGTACATATGTAAATTGTAACATGGCGGATTTTTTTTGTTGGATTATCTCATCTCGTATTGTTGTTATATTTTAATGGAAACAATTTATAATGGTTATTTTTTTATTAAATTATGCTAATGTATCTCACGACGTCAAGTAAATTGTAGAATAACATAAATACTAGATTTGTTTTTATGTGTTTATGTGACACGAAACTATTGAAATAGCTTTTTTTAAATTTAAATCTTTAGGTATGGTACAAAAAGAACAAATATCAAGTTTTTTGTTTCTGCGGTAAATTTATTATATTTTTGTTGTTTTGATATCGATTTTCAGTCTACTTTCATAAATGCGTGTGTTTTTATAAATATATAAAAACTTTGCTTATTGAATATTACATTTTATTATTAGACAAGACTATGCCCTGTTGACGACCTCGGTGGTCTAGCGGTCTAGCACACCGCTTTACGTCCGATGGTCGCGGGTTCGATTCCTCGCACAGCACAAAAATTTGTATTCATGAGTATCATTATTTGTGTCAGTGGGTGTTTCCTGTTCCTGATGTATATTATGTATGTCTTTACGAAAAAATAATATCTATGTATTTGTATCAGTTATCTAGTATCCATAACACAAGCTTTCGCTAGCTTAACTTGGGTCTAGATGTCTTGATATTATTATTATACTTGACGAAATGAAAATAATTTATAAAGAAATAAATAATAATTAATATTTTAATAAATTATGATTGTTTATTTTCAATTTTACTTTTACTAGACGCATTAAGATCGAAGCAATAATAATAATAATCTCAGGACAATTCACACAGACTAGTTAAGCTAGCTAGAGCTTATGTTATGGGTACTAGACATCTGATACTAATACTTAAAAATTTTTTCAAAATACATACATAATACACATAGAAAACTTCCAGACCAATACAAACAATCACACTCATGAATACAAATGTTTGTGCCGTGCGAGGAATCGAACCCGCGACTATCAGAAGTGCGGTGGTGTGCCGCTAGACCACCGAGGCCGTCATCCGTCATCCGATAACTCAATGATGATATTTTAATGACTTTCTCAAGTCATTACAGCTAAATGCTGTTTATTTTATAATTGCTACATCACAATATTACTGTAACAACTGTCAAAATTAATACAAAGCTCGATTTAGCGAATGGCCGGTGAGCGTCGTAAAATTCGCCCCGTTTTTATCCCTACCCGCCAGGGCCGGATTCACTATGGGGCCCTAGGCATGGCTATTCTTGGGGCCCTAAAATATGGAAAAAAAATTGAATTATTGCTTAAAGATATGTTATATATATCTATAATAATGGGTTATAGTATATATAGTCTATACAAATGAATAAAATTGAAATGTCTATTTGTAATTTCACATTAATAGCTTTTCACTAAATGCAAGTGCTATATTAAAAAAAATAAAAATTTTGTCTGTATATTTGTTATTACTAATCTCTAAAATGGCTATTTTGAACAGACTTTCACTCGTAGATAGCTAATAGTGTGAACAACAAAAGTAAGATTTTTTTTCTCTTTATTTATTTAGGAGCATATTACCACAATGGTGAAAATGTTAGCTCCGTCTTGGCTTCTAGATTGAAACACTTAAATATTTTATATTTATTACATCTAAAATTTAATCTACTCCAAAGTTACTCTTATTTTCAATTTCTATTACGCGCGCGGGGCCCCTTTCGCAGCTCCGGGCCCTCTACGTAATACGTAACAATTAATCCGACTCTGGCCACCCTCTCCCAAAGGAGCCGGCGCGACGTTTGGGGCATTATGGACCCAACCCCGGCGGATGAAGAGTTAATGAACTAATCTAGATATTAACAAAACATTAGACGCATCGGACGCTTTTCGGCATGTTCAGCGCAAGTAATTACTCGCCCTCGGCCGCCCTCGGCCGGGGATAGTGGCCCTTCGTCGCAGTTGCTAATTTTGAATGTCCGTTTATTTTAATGTCGGTTAAAATGTTTGCTGTTATATTAAAAACAAGTGTATTCAATTTATTCGTATATTAGAACTAGCTGTACCCACGACTTCTTCATCGTGGAATTTTTTTTTTCTAAAATACAAATAGCGTAAGTTACCCCTTATTACATACCGATTTTGACGGAACTTTTTTAGCAGGTAGCTGAACCTACTAAAAAAGGTTCCGTCAAAATCGGTTCAGCCATTTCAGAGATTAGCCGGAACAAACAGAGATTCAGACAGACAGACAAAAATTGTAAAAAATGTTATTTCGGTGTATGTACCGTATTTATATTCATATGCATATAGTAAAAAACGGTTATTTTAATATTACAAACAGACACTCCAATTTTATTTATATTTATAGATTAAGATACAATGAAAATGTTGTGTCTTACATATATATATATATATATATATTTTTTTACATTTCTCATTCATATCAGTGCACCGCCAACAATCTTTCTCAGCACCACTCATGGTTGCCTGGTAGATAACGCCGCAAGGTGTTAAGTCCGCCATATGTACCTACACATTGTTTTGTGCATTGAAGTTAAATAAATATAATATTTATACTACTGTTATGAATTCGTAAGTACGTCTGTCTGTTTGTTACCTTGTCATAACTAAGCGAGTGAACATATTCTAATGAAATATGACATAACGTCCATTTTCTTAACCTTTTGTCAGAGGGAATGCGCAAACAATCTTCCACGAATTATGACGACCCGCGTTCAATCATATTTTAACACACAATAACTGGGCCGAACTATTCTATTGACATGAATCTAAACAATAAAATGTCAAAACAAAATCGACATATGATCTGTATTGCGCTGAAATTAATCGAATCACAAAACAATCGCTGTAATATCTGGGTATTGTGAGAAATTCATAGTGACAGTTAATTTGGAAATGCAGCGGAATGCCGCCCGCCCGCCGCTGTTCTGCCGCGCTGTACGCGATTACTTATTCAACAAGCATATAACATATTGCTCAAGTAATTGTTTAAACTTCACACACCCACGTATTTATGAGGCCCTGGTACAATATTGTAAACTAGATATAAAAATTACGATTAACATAACATTAGAATATATTATTAAAACACTCCACACATCCACATTTTTATGTGCTCCTAGTACTTTATTGTGAACTGTGTATAAAAAAAAATCAATACCCATTAATTACATACATAAACTTTTTAATAGTATGAGTATACTAAAAAAAATCAACACATCCTCATGTTTATGTACTCCCAGTACATTATGTAATTATATATAAAAAAATACGATTGTAATAATTATTACATAAACTTATTTATAAGTATGACATCCCTATTATACTTATCCAAGTTTTAAGATTTTTTACATTTTGTCCTATTTTTATGTAATATTTTTGTAATTTCAAAAATACCTCTCTAATATTTGAAATAGGTTCCTATTTTTCAGTCTTTATGAATAAGTGTACGATTATCTGTAACGGGAGACTAGTCCCAGTAATTCCAAACTTTTTAACAATAGATTTAAAACTGTATTCTTAATGCAATTGAATATATTTTCTAATGAAAACTTCTTTTGTTACAGGTTTATCAACGCGAGACGTAGGATAGTGCAGCCTATGATAGATCAATCAAACAGAGCAGGTAACATTTTTCTTGTACATCTAAACTATCACGCCATATCCTATAGGGGGTAGACAGAGATAACTCAATACCATTAACTTCTTACAGACAACTCTTACTGTGATCATAGTCAAAAATATATATAACTAACCATACCTTTAGGGTTTCTTAGACGGTTATTTGTATATTGTGAACCTTCAACAAACTTGGCATGCCCACATTTCCCAAATTAACTGACCGCTGTCACTCAAAGTACGTTGTTATCAGTGTTATCATCACAGGAGAGTCAGTCAGTTACAATTAAACTCATTAGACAAAATAAACTGTATTGAATAATATAAATCTTGTATCAGCTTACCGTACGTATTGAACAAGCTTATTTACTGTGTTTCCATCGCCGGTCAGTTAGTTATCTACATCTACATAAACTAGTTACTGAAAAGGAATAAAAATTACATCTATATGTATCTATTTATATTATGATTGGATATCAAACAAACAAACTGATTTGTAATATATATAGTGTGTTTACATCAGCTGAGAGTTAATTTAAAACTGCATTGAATACTAATAGAAATAGAAATAAACTTTATTCAAATAAACTTAATATAAGCACTTTTTTTTATTCTACCACTCTTTCTGAACGCAAACTTATGAGAAGAAGAATGAGCAAGAAACTTGTTTGTTGCTCTTTTAAATAAATGTTGTTTTACGTAGATTCACATTAACAAGAATTAGGCATGCGACAATCAACATAGAGACCGCTACGCACTCAATCTTTGTTCAATCAGGAACATTGTCAGCGCTACGAATTTTAAGTTAGATATTTTCTACAAAAACATTATTATCATTTATAAATTCTTCAATTTCATAATAAGCTTTTTAACAAGGGTAGTCTTTTATAAGACATTTGAATCTTTTTTCCGGAAAATTGAGTACAGAATTAATAAATTTTATATCTATCTGTGTTATTTATATAAATGAACTAGCTACTCGCCCCTTGTACATATATTATACATATATTTTTTCTATCTATTTAAAAAAAATCGCTTCAAATTGGGTAGTTTTAAAGATTTAAGCATACATAGGAACAGACAGCGACAGCGACTTTGTTATACTATGTAGTGATTAGAATCTTTTTCCTGGCAAATTAAGTACAGAGTTAATAAATTTTATATAAATGAATGACAAAGAAACAAACAAACGGCTGACTTGTATATTTCCTTCAAGAACATAAAACTTTCATTAAACAGAAACCATTTCAATGAACCGCACCGAATTTATAGTCCCTCGGATTGCAGCGGGCTCTTCGTTCCAAGCATGACCAATAATTCCAATTCAGCCATCAATAGACATTACACTCACGTGTGACCATTTGGAATTCGAAGCCGCACGTCCCAAAACGACTTTGAAGTCGGAAATTGAGTTTGCCGACCGAAAGTCCGGCCTTCATATTGTATGCAAGTGCGAGCATGCACCTGAGTAACTGACCGACCGCTCGCTCCCTGGAGGACTACCCATCTTTTGAACGCTTTTAGCGCTGACCATCAACGAATTATGCTAGCCTAGTACTTTTTAGATAGTTGCGGTCAGCTGTGTTCCAAATTATAAGATCGAACAGACTTAAATTGGGAAGGCTTTCTTCAAAGTTGTTCTTGAATGTCTTTGTTATACTCGCTGGTATGTACAAACTGGTAAAAATGCAGGTTTCACCCGCGTTAAATTTCAATATAAAATATAGTCTGTGTTATTCTGATGCATAAGCTATATTACTGTAAAGTTTCATTAAAATCCGTTTAGTAGTTTTTGCATACATACAAACTTTCGCGTTTATAATACATATTATTAAGATTAAGATAATACCAGAGAAATTAAAAAAGTATTTCTATGCATATATGTATACTAGCTGTGCCCGCGGTTTCATCCGCATGAAATCTATAGCCTATGTGTTGATCTAATGTATAAGGTATATTATTGTAAGGATTCATTAAAATCCATCTAGTAGTTTTCTTTCTTCTTCGTTCTTCTTTCGTGAAAGAGTAACAAACATTCATTCATCCACATATATTCATAAAGTTTAGCATTTATACTTTTAGTAAGATAAGTAGGTTAAAGTAAGCTTGTTTGTGTTTGTAATTTACATTCTAAAAACAACAATAAATACGAGGTTTTAAGATATAATATAATAAAAATATTAGAAATTGCGCCAAGCAACATAGTACGTTAAAAACACAGCAAAGATGATTATAGTAAGCGACTACTGAAAAGTGATGTTTTTAATAAAAACGAATCGAATCATGTCAGTGGACATAAAACGGGAAAAATGTAACAAAAACATCGAGAATTTCTGACGGGCAAAAAACTTTTGTCCGCCCGTCGACAATATGGTATAGAATTACAAACGACCAATTCTATTTTTACTTTGTAATTGTAGCACACAGTCCATAAAACGTTCCCGGGGCACGGTTCCCGCGCAGCTAACAAAATTCCACCCTGGAAAAAAAGGACATCGCAGAAAAAGGGCTTACTCTTGCGAACGCTGGGAACGCAAGAAGGGTAAAAAAGAATAATGTCCGAATTCGTTGACCCGTCCCGGGCGATCCATCACTCGCCCCTCCGTCGACTATCGGCGATGTATGCTCGCCTGGTACCTTTATCTAGATGTGTGGATGTATTCGAGGGCTTTCCCTATTCAGGATTAGAGAGAGATCTTTTCCCTTTTTGTCTGTATGTAATTTCGTTGCGGGAGAAACTTGTATTTTAAATCAGAGTGCACGTTTTTAATGAAGCGTGCAGAACGGGCGCGACTGATGAAAGCAACACGATTTAATCCTCGCGAAAAGCCCAATAAACGATTGGTCGGAAATAGCACAGGATGGCCGCGCTCGAGCGAATTGTAATTTACAGGCTGGCACGGTAATGGCGTCGCATCACACAGCAATTTATGCCCTTATAATAAATTCATTAGCCAACGCCGTCGTTCGAGCTGAAACACCGGCCAGTAGATACGGCCACTAGCGATCGAACCACTGACAGGGTTATGTCTGACACGCACACAAGTATCTCACGGGAGAATTAATAAACCATGACGCTATTACCGCAAGTACAACATAGCAAAAGGGAAAATATGAGAGTGTGCCGATTAATAAAACAAAGGGACGAATTAGGTTGTTGCGTTCCACGAAAATCATAGTACGAAACTATGATTTTCGTAGGCAATCTCGTAGCTTGCTAGATATAGCAGATACTCGTAATAGAACTGTGTAACTAACGATATATGGAGTACATGTAAGTACTAGTTACTACAGTTAGTTACGTTTTCTTGGAACTAAATATTTGTTTTTTTTTACCCACATATTTCAAAACTTTTCACTGATCTGCATGATCAATTGTTGTTGGGCTTACAATAATATAATAGATAGTTAATTTAAAATAGTTCTAAATTCTAAGATATTTTTTTATTACTACAATAAGTAGTGAGATATTTTGACGCGCATAATTTAGTAACTATTGTAATTATAATAACTAGGTAACTATAGTAACCAGATAATTTAATTTCTAGGTCACTGCAGTAACAAACAGTTAATGCAATCACTATGAAACTACAATACCTAAGCAACTACAGTAACTAGTAACTGATATCTTTTAATTTCGAAAATATTGTTCGGTATATTATCCGTACTAGTTACTTTGTACTAGATACGTACCGTTTGCAACAACTCCACTAGCCTATTCCTTGCCAAATAGCAGACGTACCGGGAAACGACCACGCACGCACCAGGAATACATAAACGGGAGGCGACCGAACTGCAAATAATATAGTGATTGGAAAAGCGCCTTTTGGCTTGACCACAGGAAATGCGGTGGCCATTTTCTTTAGTCCTCTGCCAAAACAATTTTCCATCTATCCTTGCACCCTCCGGTTTTTCCATTTTCCGTTGTTGGGAAACTTGGCTGCGCTCACATCCGCCGTTTGCCTCGTCGGGGTTTTATACCGATTTTTAATATTCTATCTATGTACCTATATTTTTATTACATATTACATTTGACGGCCTAGTGTAGCACACCGCCCTACTTCCGGCGCTAGTCGCGGGTTCGATTCCTCGCACGGCACATATACTAACATTTGACGGCCTAGTGTGTAGCACACCGCCTTACTTCCGGCGCTAGTCGCGGGTTCGATTCCTCGCACGGCACAACATTTGTATTCATGAGTATGATTGTTTGTATCGATTTGGTTGTTTTCTATGTATAATATGTATATATTTAGGAAAAAATATATAATTAACTATTTGTATCAGTTATAACCCATAACACAAACTTTAAATAGCTCAACTTGGGTCTAGATGGCGCTGTGTGAATTGTCCGGAGATTATGATTTTTATTGTAAAAAGAAATATAATAATAAAATTTTATAATCCTTGAACAATTCACATAATATACATACTAAATACTTAGACTATGAATACAAATGTTAGGAACCAAACCTGCGACCATAAGAGGTAAAACGGTGTGCTAAACCGCTATGCTATCGAGGCCGTCGATACCTTTATTCATATAGGTCTATTACAGACTCTTATGATATGTTAAAAACTAGTCTACTGCCAGTTCAGAGAGCATCCGAGCTGAGAAAAACTGACGAGAAACTCAGCTCATATCCTTTTTAAATGTGCTTTTACATGTTTACAAAAATACAGATTCATTCATTCATTCATTCAAAATTAGGCACAATGGAGTTACCCGCAACATATGCTATTGCAATTGTGTCAAAAGGAAATCAGTCTAAAGCCGTCGAATTAAATAACAGGTGGAACAGCTAGGCACATCTAGTGTTTTATAAGTATCATAAACTTCTGTCACCTTGGTAATTTCTTCTTGATGATGTTTCCATTGAACGCTATAACAATAACATTAAAGTCGCGTCCTGAAGATTATCGAGTACTAAATCATAGTTTCCTGGTAGACGGGGGCTGCGCGCGTCGTCTCCGGGGGCTCCGTTATTGCTTCCTGTTGTCCTAGTAACAGGAGCCACGCTTCAATGGACACAGAATCGCGGCGGGGTCTTTCTATTTTCAACCGACTTCACAAAATCGAGGTTCTGAATTCGACTTTTTTATGTCTCAGAACTTTTCTCTTCGTGAACCGATTTCGATGATTATTTTTTATTTGAAAGCTGGTGCTTCACTTGTAGATTCACATATATATGTGATGAGTAATTTTTTTAATTATCTGTAATATTGCGATTGAAACTATAAGAAGAATATTGTGCTCTTTAAATATACAAAATGATTGAACAGCCCGCCATGTCGCCGTCATGTCAATAACTGCGCGGACTTAATTCATTCAATTGTAGTCACAATCCTTCAAAAAGTCAGGATCCTCTCAAATGTAATTTTTAATAAGAATAGTTTAGGAGATATCTTTTATTAGAATATGACTACAATTTTGTAAATTTGAATCCAAAACAATTTGTCTCTATTTATAAACATGTGAATAAAAGTATTAATCAAGAATACAAATATTCCTAATTAGATTTTTGAGTCTAATCTAATGAATCTTTGGAGTAGTTTAGGAGTAATTTAAGAAATATAAATGTAATCTATGAAATGAATGAATTTAGAAACAGACTGTCCCATACGTCCTTTGAAACTACAAAAATTTAGATCTATGTACCTAGTCTGAAAAAAAATGACCTACAGTGCATTCCGAATAATGCTCCTAAAAAGACAAAGAAAAAAAAATCAAATTAAAAAAAAATAATGAACATTTTTTTATACATGTCTTCTAACACAGTCCCATGTGCAAGTACTCTTAGTATTTTGACCTTCAGAAACTCAAACACTAACCATGTAGGAGACAAAAACAAACAAACTTAATCTATGGTACGCGAATAATTTCGGCGGCAAGACATTACAGATTGATCCCATGTTTGTGCCGATCTCTCGTGAACCAATGGCGCGTACCACCATAAAGACCCCAAGGATGCCGGAAATCGGCGACTATAATGGACGAACACCATTACTTTACGATTGATAATCCCCTGGAAATATTGCAATCGGAAACCATAACAGTTTTGTGGTAAAATTGAGCGAATTCCTATATCTATGGTGGATTGACGGGAGGGGCGCAGTGGCGTCGTTAAAAAGTTTTGCCATGATGGACAATTGTCATGTCTTTATTGCTAAAACAAAATATGAATCATATTCAAATGGATATAATCATATATTAAAGATTCAGTGCGTAGATTCTATGATGATTGTCGCATGCCTAATCCTTGTTAATGTGTGTTTACTTAGAACAACATTTATTTAAAATATATCACCTACGTAATGACGTAGAATACACATAATCACTTCATAATAATTTATGTATTCAACAACATGTTTCATTATCCACTAATAAAAATCTACATAAAATTGTAGTGGATCTAATAAATTGTCCAGAGACTGTAGTTCTATTGTTTAACATGTAATTTGGTAAAATTTTAATATTATTATATTTTAATTAAAAAGTAAAATGTTATCAACAAGTAACGACATTTTATTTGTAATATCACCGATGTAATGACGTAGAATACACATAATCACTTCATTATAATTTATGTATTCAAAAAGGTTTCATTAGCTACTAATGAAAATATCCATAAAATTATAGTGAATCTAATAAGTTGGCCAAAGACTGTAGTTATACATATAGTTTAATCTGGTAAAAAAATACCAAGGACAGTTATGTATACAGCCAGCTTAATTAACCGTACAGTGTTTTACCCGGCAGTGTTCCCGCACGCGGGTCCCAGCGGCGCGTACAGCCCCGAGGCGACCATGGGCTACATGATGGACGGGCAGCAGATGATGCACAGGCCCCCGACGGACCCAGCCTTCCACCAGGGCTACGCGCACTACCCGGCCGAGTACTACGGCCACCATCTCTAATCTATCCTGCACATTTGTACATGTAAGTTGATCGTAATCATTTATTCGTGTAGGACATTTTAGCCACTTATAAACGTCAAGTTTTTTGTATTAATATTTTTTTCTCTACCGTCCAGTTCAGTATACAGGTTCAATTGATATGTACTGTCATGATACTCTACCTAATTTTTTTTTTATACCACGTTATTTATGTACGCTACACTTGGAAAGAACTGGCTATAAAGTCAACTGAATTTCTTTTTTAAAAGTCTGTTTTTTATGTACGCCAAGTCCTATATGGGCTAAACAGAGAGAGATATATATTAGCCGATATCTGACTTTCGAACTCTTTTTTTTTTATTTTATCGAAAAATTCAAAAGACCGTTCCTGCTCGAGAGCGGGCATGTGTGGGATTCTTACCCAGTAAAAAATTACATGGTGTACCTACGAGCGTCATAGCCGGAGTCGTGAGGTCATGTTAGTATTCTACCGCGACTCCGTTGGCCGGCCTTATAGATGGTGTAGGTACCAACTCTTTGTTAGGGCGACCTATATAACAAAATAACAGTCCCTACTTCGGTTAACGGTATATGCTGGTGAGGTACTAGTGCAACATGAAACGTAAGATTAAATGCCTCCTTAAGACCCTTATCCCGTTGTTGAAAAATTGCAGGGAATCTTGAGAAACTCTAAAATCTAATAAAAGTTCATCTTTCTGATGGTAGACATTAAGTCATTGATATTTAGAGATTTATCTCAGATAAAATATAAAGTAGAGTATGAGGAGACGGTAGCCCACCTCTGCAGCTACCTTCCCGTTTAGACATCAAGGAAACAAGTAAGCTACACACGTTTCTCTTCAAAATCGTAGGACATTCTTCTAAAATTATAATTCCACTGGTATTAGATTTTAAAGTAACCCAATTTTATTAATAAATATTTTTTCTGCAATTTCAGATATTGATAACGGAGAGAGTCCGACGCAGCGAGCCGAGGGCGGCGTCCGCGCGACACTCGCCTCCGAAGCGGGGCCGGCCACCGTGCCTCTGTGATATATGACACCGGCACGGACAGACGCGCAATTATCGCGCAACTAACGCGCAACTCACGCGCGACTCCCGCGCGACACCATTCTACAGGAGAACGATGCTACACTGTACATAAAGCGATACCTTTTGTAATATTTGAAACAGTATACGATCTCCTAAATTAAGATTTAAAGTCAACTTTAATGTTTAAATTAAAATGTAAATTTACGCGACACTGTGGACGATGTAATATAACTGGTGCAATCACCTTATATAAATAAATAAATAAACGGTTTTATCACTCGGAACAATAGGAGCAAAGTTGATGAATGTAACAATAAAAGTGGTTTGATAGTTATCGTATAAATATTTATAGCTAATTGTGTATTGTTATTATTAAATATAAATAAATAATTGAATAGTTGTAAGTTGTAACTATCACTGGAAGTACTTGGGTCGCTGTGGACAGATGGTAATAGAAAATGGGACTTTTGTAAAGGAGTTGTGTATGTAATTGGTTTATTTAGATTTGTTTTTTAACAACTTTCCTTGATTGAGGGACGGCGCGGGGCCGAGGGCAGGCGGGACTAACGGCGAGCTCGCTGGTCGAGTTCGCCGCTGTTTGTTGCGCACGAATCGCTCGTGTGTCGCTGACAGTCGCCCGTCTGCCGCCGGTCGAGCGCCGCCGCTTGCCTTAATCTAACCCGTGAAGTACTTTAGTATGGAATGTGTTGCGTCTGTTACCTACCAACTAATTTATTCAATAATTAATTATCACGCTCAAATTGTACTTCTAAACGAACGTCAATTTCTTGTATCTTAATTTTAATTGTCCGAGCAGCAGTTTCGTGTTTTGCGTTACAGGTGAAGTACATATCTTGAAATATATATATATTTATTAATATATGATGATATTGTGAATTTAGATATGATTGTTTCACCTTGCCTTGGTGTTCAGTAAAGTAGCACAATTTGTAACCGATGTATACGATAACAAAATGATATTTTACAATGTTAAAATAAAAGAGATTTTTAGGTATATTTTGTCTTGGGAATAAATACCTGACATCGATTGCCTTCTACGTTACCAGGAGACCATGAATTTTTATTGTTCTTTCGCGCGCGGCTCGCGAGTTAAAAAATTATAATGTTTATGCAATAGTGTTGATTGACTGTTGGTAGTTTTTTAATTCGCCAGCCATGCCGCTTAGATGTTTATAGTGGGGCAAAAGTCGTGTGATTTTTGTGACTGATAAATCTTGTGAGCTTCACATAGAGTCCTAGATTATTACAAGCCGTTCATTCACTGTTCCGTGGCGGCATGCTCTAAAGATTTTAGCGTTCGGTTCATATATATCAGATTTAGATTAAGCCACGGGACTATGTAATGATATTACTAAATAAACATGAGAATACGTTAAGGTAATGCACCGCATTACAGCCTTATGCCATGTATACGAACGGGAGTTATAAAAAATGTCAAAATGGTCTTAGCTACGGTATAACTTCGATAGTGGAATAAGTTATCCGGAAACAAGCTTTATTCTAGTGTAATAACCACCATATTGTCTTGTGAGACTGGCGCGACACGATTGTTTTGTTATCGGCCCAGGCTGATGGGAGATACTGTTGCGAGATATGCAATTAGAGCGTCGTAAACCAACCGTGTCACGCCTTAGTGTATCAATTAGAAAGTTTGTTATCTTTTGTAAATATACTTAACGTGGTATTATATGTTTCGTTCGTTTGATCCTTGTATATTGCAGTTTCATTTCCAGTGTGGTCTCAGTATTAAAATGGAATGGTTTCTAATGAGGACCGCGCATACATTTCGTTTCTTGTGCAACACCAATCTTTGTTGATATTCCCTTTTATTATTGTTATTTACATTGCGTGTAATATATTTTTATTAAGAGGAAAATCTTAAATAGTAGTTGTTAGGCATTAATGTATTAATTGAAGAATTTTATTTTGATTTTTCTCTTTATTATATTATGTATATGTACATTATATATAATGATTTGAAAGTCATCAAGTTACTGTAAATATAGCTACTAAAATGGACATTGTGAGTCTGTCAGCGGTATTAAACAATTATTATTGAACGGTTCGAGAAAGAAAGTTAATTATATATTTGTATTGTATAATTTTGGCGAGGTACATATTATTATAAATATGAATTATACATAAATAGTGAACTGGTTTATATAATATAAATAATAGCACCACCCTCACGCTGACGGATCGAGTGGAGATACTGACGAAACTGTGTCGGCATTATGAATGCTACGAATTGTGTAAAAAATATTAAAACCTAAAAAAAAAGTTACTTGTTTCATTTTTGCATGCACACGTCCACACCAAAGTTATATGTACTTTTATATTCTCCTGGTATTGAATCATAAATGGAGCTACATAACCAGCGAGTAACAGTTGGAATGTATTTATGTAATTCAAAAAAATATTTGAATTGATAGCAAAAGTTTGTACTAGAAAAACAGAAAACGTTGACAACACCTCCTGAAATTTATGTATTCTTAACAGGTAACGTTACTAGTTGAATGTACCAGGAGAACAGAAAAATATTGCATCATTTTCTACTAATTTATAAATCCCTAGTAGGCATGAAGCGATGTCGCTAATGTATTTTATATAACTAGGAAATCAGAAAATCATATTTCGACATCTTCTTGTTTATTTATGCTCTCGTAGTAGATGATTTACTCCTGGTACAAGTCTACTATTAAATAAAAATATTTTACACATCTAATTCATGGAATTCTTAGTAGGTAACTGGTACTAGGCAACACGATTGTACCAGGAGAACAGAAAACTATTGCACCATTTTGTACAAATTTATAAATCCCTAGTGGGGGCAGGCGTAAAACGATTTACTTGACCGGTTTGCAAATTGTAATTAGGGTATTTTTACTAGGAAAACAAAAAATTGTTTATATCATCATCTCCTCCACTTTATGCAATCCTAGTAAATGATTTACTCCTTTATTATAAATACGGGTTAACCACTCGTTAGTGCTTTATTGTACCAGGCGAACATAAAAATTATTTTGATATCCCCGCCAATTTATAACCTCTCAGTTGGCAAACTTAACTGTTTACTCCTGGTACTAGATACCGTGTATTATTTGTATTTTATTTTAGTTTTACCTCCTTTTTCATAAAAAGTTACTAGCCACTTTCTTTGAGATAAAATACCTGGTATGGCCATTCATATAGTAGTGAAAAGTCAACAAACAGACATGCACATATACAATATTATTTTGAATATTAATTTACATAAAAGCTCTCCAATATTTATATGTTCAACCATGAATACGAAAACAAGATATTTTTCAAACTGGGTAGCTAAAGTTGGTGAGTGTTTGCGTGGACGCGCGGATGGCTCCCAAACTTTACTGACACATTTACGTGAGTGGCCATCTTTATTGTTTACCCACTGGCCTTGCTAGTCGTGATGAAACTAGTTTCGTATTGTTAATTGATTATGTACTCAGCAAAGGATGCCTAATTGAAAAAAAAAACTAGTTGCAACGATTAAACATGTTAAATTTAATTTAATTTTATAGAATAATTTATTTTCTATTATATTGTAACATTCTTGAAAAGCAACATATAAATATATTTTTTTTCTTTCTAAACTAGTTAAACTTATTTTAATGTTATTGCTATAAATTTATTCATATTTTTTTTACTATTAATTATCATAAATGCATGAGGGCGTCTGTTTGCTACTTTTTCGCGAATATATAGTTGAACCGATTTTAATAAACTTTGGTATAAGATCACGTATCACAACGATAGATTGTATGTCAACCTTATAAAATACTAGCTGTTACTTGCGACTTCATCTGTTTTTTGAAGATAAAAAGTAGCCTACGTCCATCTTCGTGGTACTTGCTATGTGTCTTTAAGCAAAATTTCTTTGAAATACAACTTCGAAATCAACAGTTTAGTTATGGAAAGGAACAGACAGACATGTTTTTGGATTTATTATTAGCATTCAATACTTATTTTCCTTGATATATATTTATTAAAAAAAAGATATTATGCGTAATTAGGTTACAGATTAATACAGATTACATATATGCACAAAATACAGAGTAGACATATTTTTCTTTTCTAATTTTTTTTTAATGTTTTTATATATACATGAAATATCGATATTGCATAGTTGTTATCTAAATAAAAAGTAGCAGTTCCCACTCTATAATTATTTATCAATAATTAATTAATTAAATCTTCATTAACCAATACATTAGTTAATTAAAAGTACTAAGGCGGCAGCGCGCTGAGGCGATAGCATGTAACGCAACCGCTACGTCGTAGCGTTCGTAGCGGCGTAGCGTCGTAGCCGCGTAGCGGGCGTGGCGCCTCGAAAATGGCGACCGACAGTGAGTAATGGCACTCCGGGACGAGTCCAGTGACGCGTGCCGCAGGGCTGTCCACAACTGCAGTCTACTAAAAAATAAACATAAAAAAATAAAATTGTTAAATAAATGTTACAAATATTTTAAACCAGCTGTGCCCGAAGTTTCGAGACGGGTGGCAAGTGGGTTTCAATAAAAAATATAGCCTAATGCATAAGCTATATTACTGTACAGTTTCATCAAAATCCGTTCAGTACTTTTAGCGTGAAAGAGTATAACATCCAAACTTACAAACTTTCCCGTTTCGTCTTGAATCACTCTATCTATTAAAAAAAAAACCGCTTCAACCGCTGCGTAGTTTTAAAGAGTTAAGCATACATAGGGACGGACAGACAGCGCACCGACTTTGTTTTATACTATGTAGTGATGAAGATTTCATGCGGTCATTATTTATACGTACTATTAGATAAAATCACTGGATCTTACCACGTTTTATTTATTTCTATTGAGTTTCCATTTCGGCAGGGTTCAACCGCCATGATCACGGGTAGACTGTCTATAGAAAGATTTTATTTACCTACGCACTGCTCTTCAGCGGGTAAATAAAGTATTTTAAAGCCAGACATATTCGTCTAACTTCACACGGCTTCGTTTGTTGAAAAACTAAATAAAACGAGGTAAATTTTCGCAGTTTTTCCTAATTGTACGTATAAATAATGATTGCGACAAATTTAAAACTGTATATATATAAATATACTGAGTCATACTTATTTTTTAAGTAACTAATTGACATTATTATCGGTTTATTCAATTTAGACTCTATTATGTTTGAATAGAACAATAAATGCCCCGATCGCGGTTACCTGCAACTTGTTTTTTTTTATAGCATATGGCCGTTCTCTTGATATAATGTATCATAATCTCAAACATCATTAGGATCGGTTCAGTCGTTTGGCCTTGATTAGTTAACGAACAGAGAGACAGACTTTCGGAATTATACTGTTATTATGGATTACATATACATGTACCTATATGTACATGTAATGCAGAATAATTTGAAAACAGCAAATTACAAATAAAAGCAACAAAAAAGTTCTCGAGAAAGAAAAATAAATAAATATAACTATGACTATTCAATAGTGCTTAAATTAATAAAGGATTTTAATAAAGAACTTTCTATTCATAGATACTTTATATGAATCTCTTCACACATAACCTTTTAAAGACATCTAGTAGACATTATTAAATTTACCATCAAATTATTCCTTTTAAAACCTGATTTAACAATAGCAAGTATAATCTGTCAAACACTAGTGGCGAGTGGCAGCCCTATTTTTTTCCTACTGCGGAGCACAGTAAGCAACGCACCGATTGTATCGCTCGCGGATGCTTGGAGCGGCCCATTTGTCAACCTTAGTACCCCCTCTGCCGCCCCCGCACACCCGATCTCCCCAGCAGAAGCCCCCCTCGCGTCTCACCCCCACCAACTCGCAGCTACAAAAGAAACGCACGCTTCAGATGGAAACTGAACTGAAGCTATGTCAATTTATGTCGCCCTGGCGGACGAGGTGCGCTCCACGAGTTTCTGGCTTTTCCCGTAATAAAATAGATTTACGAAGATATCGTACGAATATGGACTCTAACCGATTGTTTTAGTGACCAATATAGATATCGTTTTTTCCCTGGACAATTCACACAACGTCATCTAGTACCACGGTAAGCAGAGCTAGTGTTTTGGGTACTAGACAACTGATATAAATACGTAGATATGTTTTTTTTTTAATTTATACATAATGTGGACTGATGATCTTATTGCTAGCAATGTACCATGTCAGATTGACCTCCACATGATTCTCCCTGGAAACTATCGTCATAAATTCTTAGTCGATGGGCTAACTGACCTGGGGCCGTATTATGAACTCTTATTCCCATTCAGTTTACGGCTTAAACTGAACTGCCTGGCGATTTCGTATTACGAACGCTATTAGCCAGCCAGTCAGCGGTCACGTGACAGCTGAACGTCTTCTACCCGAAAACTGACCGGCTATTTCGTATTATGAGCGTTTCATTTGACAGATCTAAGCGGACGCAACTGTCAAAAAGACCGTTTAAAAACAATTCAGTTTACGGTGGCTTCATATTAGGTTTTATAGAATTGTTTTCTAATTTATAGCTTCATTATTGTAATTTGGTTGTTATTTCTATTTCTATGTCAGTTTTTATTATGTTTAAAACATGTTTGTGCAGTTATTTCGATTGTTTTTGTTTCGTTTTAATTTTAATTATGTGTGATGAACTCGAAGTATTGGAGTTTTTGGAAATGTGTGCACCCTACGAAAAAGAAGTAAGGAAAGTGAAAAGACGGCGATTACGCGACCTATCCAATCCAATTGATATAGACAATGAACAATTTAGAAAACGTTATAATCTAAACAAAGATTTGGTGCGTAATATGCGTGCGAACTCATATGCCGGTATCATCGAAATTTACAGACCTACCAGTGGAAACTAAGGTATATTGTATTGTAATTATTTCACTAAATCACTAGCTGACTATGTCAGGTTTTAGTAGCATTATTATTTACGCTGCAGGCTCGTATCAACGGCCTACTTGTGATATTGCTGTTCATTCGCTAGCACAGCCAATGGCAAATAACCGATTTATTGCATTTACCCAACATCCAAAAGTAAATACATATATAAAATTCCAAGGACATCTGAGTAAAGGATAGATAATAAATATTCAAAGGTATCTATTTCTATACAATTAGCAACTGTGATTGTTGCAAATACATCTATGAGTACCATGTACCATACCATATGATATAGTGATAATATATATGGTAAAATGTATGCATACAAGTAAAGCCTAGAAAGCAAGTATACAAGTATGCAACAGTCTGATGATGTGCAGTCTCTCCGGCACTTTCCCCCGAGGACAATTAATTAAATTAAATTAATTATATTTTAGGTTTTATAATTGGAATTTGGAATGCTGGGTGTATTGGGCTGTATTTGACTGTACACATGCCACCCCATTGTAAATTAAGAAGAGATATTACTGTAGAAAACAATACCATTCATTAAATATATAATTGGTAAGTGAAATATAAATTAAAAGACATGTTTAATAATATAAGCACTTTTAATATCTTTTTTTTAATATAATTATATAAATTAACAATAAACAAGATTTTAGATATGCAAAATATGTTAATGATTATACATCTCTAAAGCTACTTATATACTAACAATAAATTGTTTACTTAAATATTAAATGACCATAACACTTAGACATATGTTTCAAATAATCTGTATCCATGTAATTAATCTCATATGTTTCAAATAATATTTATCTATTAATTATTCTCTTATGTTTCAAATAATCTTCATCTATGTAATTAATCTAGAAAAAAATTTTAGGTTAGTAATGCTGACATGGAGATTATAAGTGTGGATGCCAACTGGAACTGGAGCTACTCATGACATTTGGGCAAACCAGAGGCATTAAGCAACATCTAGAGGACTTAAGCTGGAATAAATCCTTATGATTACTTGGTAAGCACAAAATTTTATTATGAAACTACAAACATCATTACATCTAAGCTCTAAACCTCAGTAATTTAGAAACATAGTTATTTATCAGCACCAACAGTTATTGTGCTGTGTTTTTAATGAAATAATACTTTTTGTAAATAAATATTAATATTATAGTATATAATATGTTGTTTTTTTTTTAGGAGATCCAGGATATGCTTTAGAGAAGTATACTCCCATCTCAAATGCTATACCAGGACCACAAGAAGCATATTACACTGTAAGAACATGGAATATCATTGAGAGCACAATTGGGCTTCTAGATTTAGATGCCTACATGTACTTTGAGCTCTTATAGAGAACTAAATGAAGGTCTAGCTGCTAGACAAACCCATGTTGTTTAGTTGTGGAACTAAGAAATTGAAACATTTATAAATAATAATATTGTTAATAGGTCAATGTTTTAATTATTTGTTTTTATAATAAAGGATATAGGTACATTATTTATGTCTTTTATTGGTAGTTATAATTAAATGGATATGATAATTTTATTATATACTAGTTATTACCTATGACTTTGTCCATATGGCATAACTAGTTTTTGTTTAAATAAATAAAATATTTCAAATAAAAGTAACTTACGTAAGTTACTCCTTTACACAACTCATTACATATGACAGTGAAAGTATCCCTCAAATTTGGTCCGGCTGTTTCAAAGATTAGCAAGAACAAACAAACGGACAGACAAATATTTTTATTTTTTTGATGTCATTTATCTTACCTTATATATGTATGCATTTAATGAAAAGCTGTTGTATGGTGAACTTCAGAATTACAAACAGATACTTCAATTTATTTGCATAGATACATGTATTTCAGATTTTACATTAGATTATTATTAGATTCCTATTAAATGAAATAAATTAAACTTCAGATGGTTACCTTATAACACTTAAACTTGACAATCCTTTCCAGTCTTTAAAAGCCCCTTTTCCTAAGGAGTTTAATTGCTGAGTGACGTCCTCACACAAGCGATTGGTATAGTATTCTCGAGCGGACTTATTAAAGCCACTTGCCATTTCCCTATGGGATTTTAAAAATCCCATATAATTTCAAATTACCGGTACGATACACGACGTTGGCGAGAGGTTTCTGTCCCTGATCTACAATTTAGTTAGATAAATATACAAATATAAACAGTTACATATTAGCATTATTTTAAAAAAACATTACTAAGAAAATGTTAGGAATACTTACGTTACATTAGGTATATTTTTCACAATAATTGAATTATTAAATATTATATAAATTAAATAAATTTAACTTGCGTATAAAGTTATGGAAAGGCTAAGTTTCAAATTGTACATTAAAATCAGAATTAAGTACTTTGCGCGGAATTTTAAGTAGATGCACAAAGTTCGTTTGGATATTACAATGAAAATATTTTTTACAAATAAATCCGAATTATTAAAAAAGACAATAAAACTGTCTGGAATATTTTTGTATATTACACAAATTCTACCATTGTATCTTAATTACTATTTTCTATATTTAATTTACATTTATTTAATTAATATTTTGTCCAAAAAGTGACATACAAAAACTCGACTTAACGTTGCAACGAATGTATGCGTATCCGAACGCAGCGCGAGAAAATCCACTAACCAGCCAGAGACAAACTATCCAGGCAGAATACGGTTTGAATTTGGACCCTCATAATACGAAAAAGAACAATTCAGTTTAAGGCCGTAAACTGAACTGCCTGGAAACTGACTGGATTTTAAAGAGTTCATAATACGCCCCCTGGCCTCAAACTTCCACTGGTGTCCCGCAATCGCAAACCGTTAGCTCAGGCGGGTGCACCATTCCATTATCATCCATAATTATACATAGAAAACATCAAGACCGATATAAACAATCATACTCATGAATGCATGTTTGCACCGTGCGAAGAATCGAACCCGCGACCACCGGAAACCGTGTGTCAAACCGCTAGCGAGGCCGTCGAATATACAAATAATTCGGTTTTTGAAACATAAATGGAATGGCAAACAATCTCTATATACATATATATGATACGGTCATTACGTTATCATATGATGCCCATGACACTTATTCGTCGCCATTCTGTGGGAATAAGACGTTACTTTATTTTCAAGAGAAACAGTTTACAAAGCAAACTGCTTGGCGGCTTATAGTCTACCTCGATCGGTAGATAACCGTGAGGGATATGTTTGTTTGTTTGAAAGAGGTAATACATGAAACTTTTTTTTTTGCGTGTGGAAAATCTTCAATAGATTTTCCACACGTAAAAAAAAAGTGTAGTGTTAGACTCCACCGGAGGGAAGACGAGGCGGTGTGTGAAATTTTTACCTCCCAAAAACCATATAGACAGAACAGTTTTTTTATATTACGTTGGTGGCAAACAATAAGGCGTATCTAATGGTAAACAGTTACGGTAGTCTATGGACGCCTGAGACACCAGCGCTGTCACATACTCGTTGCCGACCCTTAAGAAACCTTAATATACCCTTCTTGAAAACCTCCATACTGTAAACTCGTGGAAAACCTCGGCATGTAGTTTATTCTTCAATCTAAGTGCAGCTTGCTTGATGTTTTTAACAGTGTTAATCTAAAGACTCTTTTTAGACTTTCTTAGACTCTTCTTAGATAATGGATACGTTGGTCTATACATATATCCATACATATACCTATGAATAGCTCAACATAAGACAATTTGTAAGAATACGGGGCCAAAGTTCGTGCCTTGGGAAAGCTCTACGTCCATCAGTGGGATGATGAATCTCAGGAAAAAAATATTGAATTAAGGCAGCATATCGTTTATTCATCAATCTAGTTGTTTTGTGTATCTGTGTATCATAAGCTTGTGTCATAATATCTGAACAGGAGGTAGGCCGATGGGTACACGCAATTTCAACGGCAGTCTAATTTAAGACGGGCCGCGGGCGACATGTTTATTGGTTAATTAAAGTTTTACGCGGAAACAAACAAGTACTAGGGTCGAAGAGGATAATAGGAGCGACAGCAAATACGTTAATGGCAATTCAATTGAATTGAGAAGCCCTAAATTTTGAGGTGTTAAAAAAATAGGTCTGCCATTGGTCTGCTAGTCGCTACTTAAAAATAATAACACTTCAATATGTAAATAAGTACTGTAAAATAATATGGTATATTTCAGGTCAGTATATATATTATATATAATACTAAGTGGAAACCACCCAGATCTATAGGCCATCATAAATAATAATAATACAAATACATCATGTTACGGGGTGGCAGCAGCAACGATATAGGAAGACTATGAACTTTTACTTATATGTAGATATTTTACACTTCGAGTGTATAAACTGAATTGGATTTGCACATAATATCCTGGTTCTATTTAAGGACAGTAGGTACATAGAACCGCTATTTCAAATTTCTGGAACATACATTTTATATCATAACTAGCTGTAGCTTAAATAACTAGCACAAAATTTCATGAGAATCGAAAACTGTGACACGAGAATCTTATATATAAAATTCTCGTGTCACAGTTTTCGTTCCCATACTCCTCCGAAACGGCTTGACCGATTCTCATAAAATTTTGTGAGCGTATTGAGTAGGTCTGAGAATCGGCCAACATCTATTTTTCGTCCCCCTAAATGTTAGGGGTAGTCCACCCTTAATTTTTTTTTTATTTTAAGGCAAAACAACGTTTGCCGGGACAGCTAGTTTTATATATAAGACTAGTCGACCCCGCAAACGAATCCGTTGTTTCCCATATTAATTAAATTCGTTATTAAAAAAATAGGGGTTGGTTTGGAAAATTTGGGGTTAATTGGTAAGTTATATCACATTGTAAAAAAAATTGTCCAAAAATAAAAATAAAACTCTTATCACTTGGGGGTATGAAAAATAGATAGTAGTCGATTTTCAGACCTACTGAATATGCTTATAAAAATTCATAAAAATCAATTTCGGAGGAAATAGAAATAGAAATAATCTTTATTCGAATAAACTTAATATAAGCACTTTTGAATTGTCAAGTTTTTTTATTCTACCGCTCATTCGGAATGCATGTGATGAGTCACAAGAAGAATGAGCAAGAAACTTGTGTTTGTCTATTGAGGAGTATGGTAACTAACATTGTGACACGAGAATTATATATATTAGATTAAGTAGTCTTGTTTAAGGTATAATAAAGAGTTATAAATAAATTAAAATAATATATTTCGTAAACATAAAACATTATGGATTTCTCTAGCAGTCCAACTTTGCTTGCCGACTGTACCGTTTCAAAAACACCTGAACAGCAGGACCGGTAAAACAATAAGCTAAGTTCACAATTTATCCGCGCCTCCCGATTGCCGGCGCTACTCTGTTACACCGCGCCGCCGCGCCGCTCCGGGCGCACCCCCGCACCGCCGCGCACCCCTGCCGCCCTAGTAATTAACTAAATAATGGACAACTACCTCGTAATTAGTTTTACTAGATTTACGGTGAAATTATTGCAAATTGATTATAGTTAAACTGAATTGTTGTAATTATAACAAAAGCCAAGTAAAAAAGAATCTATCCGGAACTCAACAAAAATAAAACGTGGTAAGATCCCGTGATTTACTAATTATACTTACAAAAAAGAATCACTTACAAGTATAGTCTGCATTACGATAACGCCTCAAAAATAATATATAAATTCTATTTTAGAATAGAAAATCATTTATTCAAATTAACTTAAATTTAAGTAATTTTGAATAGTCACAGTTATTGTTTTTTAATTAAGAACGAGCAAGAAACTTGCGCGTTGCACCTTTAAATAATTGTTGTAACTTTACATTTTTAAATAGTTCTATATATAATATATTCTGTGCAAAAAAAAAGGTTTTAATTAAAAATTGATACTATTCAAAAAAGTCTAAAAACTATTTTTTATTTAATATTTATTATTAGTAAATATAAATAACGGCCGTTGTACTAAATTTATGTCCACATTTAATGTGAAATTATTATTTTTGAGTATAAACAGTTATCGAAATAATTTAATAAAATAAACAAATGTACTGGTTATCGTGTAAAAAAATATAAATTGATATAAGACTGTTTAAATAGTATAGATGTGAAATGATTTTTGTATAAACATGTCATGCAAACTAGATAGATATAGAAACTGCGAATTATGTCTTTCCAAATTAGATAACAATATTTTAAAAGATTGAAATACGTTAGACGTAAAATACAATAAATTGATTAAAACTGTGCCTCTGGTGAGAAAGAGCACGAGTCAAATTATAGACTTTTATTTTATCAAAAATTTGTAATTCGAATGCTACAGGAAAAAGAACCATAAATTTAAAAACGATGGATTTAAAAACAAGCGTGTAAAAGATTACAATTAAAATATACGATAAAAAAAATCATAATACGAAATTGAATGACACAAAAATTGAACAAAAAAAAACAGCACCA